TTCTAAGGGGTGGAGAGAAGTAGTGCATCTCCGTATCAGTAGGTAATTACATGGGCCAGCAAGGCTTATCTGTACCAGAGAGGTTGGGTGGAGCTCTCTCTTCTGCAGCAGGGTCGAGAGAAGTGGGAAGACTGCTTGTAAGAAATAAATGAGTTTCTTAAACTTTATTTCTCCCTTTGACTGATTTTGGTTTCAAATGTATTTTTCCCCAGTATTTTACAAGGAAAAAGCAGGAAAAAAATCTGTCTTGATACTATTCAACAACATTGTTATTAACTGAACTGTGTCCCTCCAAAATTCATATGTTGAGGTACTAATCCCCAGTGTGACTGTATTTGGAGAATGAGGTGCTAAGGAGGTAATTGAGGTTGAATGAGTGTAACTCCAGGGGCAGGGGAGAATCCCAAGGCAAAATACCTTTGAAACCGAAATCAGTCAAAGGGAGAAATAAACCCATTTATTTCTTTCAAGCAGTTGTCCCACATCCCTCTTGACATGGCTGCAGAAGAAGAGAGAACTCCACCCAACCTCTCCTGTCCAGATAAGCCCTCACTCACCCATATAATTACCTATCAATATGGAGATGGATTACTTCTCTCCACTCCTTGGAAACACCTATTGATATAGAGATGCACTAAAGCCAGGTGAAAGATTCTGGAAATACTGCAATTTTACCCACATTCCTTTTTCACATTTCTGAATAGCATTAAAAAATAATATTTTAAAAATACATCAAAAAGAGCATCCATCATGATTAAGTAGGATTTATTCCAGGGATATAAGGATGGTACGACATTCAAAAATCCATCAACATCATCCACCACATCAGTAAAAAGAAGGCCAAAAACCACATGGTTATCTCCAGATCCTGAAAAAGCATTTGACAAAACTCAACATCCATTCATGATAAAAACTCTCAACAAAATGGGTATAGAGGGCAAGTACCACAACATAATAAAGGCCATATATGAGAAACCCACAGCCAACATTATACTTAACAGTGAGAAGCTGAAAGCTTTTCCTTTAAGATCGAGAACAAGACAAAGATGCCCACTCTCCCCACTTCTATTCAACATAGTACTGGTGGTCCTAGCCACAGCAATCAGACAACACAAAGAAATAAAAGGCATCTAGATTGGCAAGGAAGAAGTTAAACTGTCCCTGTTTGCAGATGACATGATATTGTACATAAAAAACCCGAAAGAATCCACTCCAAAACTACTAGATCTAATGTCTGAATTAGGCAAAGTTGCAGGATACAAAATTAATACACAGAAATCTGTTGCATTCCTATACACTAATGATGAACAAGCAGAAAGAGAAATCAGGAAAACAGTTCCATTCAAATTGCATCAAAAAGAATAAAATACCTAGGAATAAACCTAACCAAGGAAGTGAAAGACCTATACTCTGAAAACTATAAGACACTCATGAGAGAAATTAAAGAAGATACCAATAAATGGAAATACATCCTGTGCTCATGGATAGGAAGAATTAATATTGTCAAAATGGCCATCCTGCCTAAAGCAATCTACAAATTCAATGCAATCCCTATCAAAATACTAATAGCATTATTCAATGAACTTGAGCAAATAGTTCTAAAATTCATATGGAACCACAAAAGACCCTGAATAGCCAAAGCAATCCTGAGAAGGAAGCATAAAGCAGGCGGAATTATGCTCCCTGACTTCAAGCTCTACTACAAAGCCATGGTAATCAAGACAATTTGGTACTGGCACAAGAACAGACCCATAGACCAATGGAACAGACTAGAAAGTCCATATATAAACCGAAGCATACAAGGTCAATTAATATATGATAAAGGAGCCATGGATATGCAATGGAGAAATGACAGCCTCTTCAACAACTGTTGTTGGCAAAACTGGACAGCTACATGCAAAAGAATGAAACTGGGTTATTGTCTAACCCCATACACAAAAGTAAACTCAAAATGGATCAAAAATCTGAATGTAAGTCATGAAACCATAAAACTCTTAGAAGAAAACATAGGCAAAAATCTCCTGAATATAAACATGAGCAATTTTTTCCTGAACTCATCTCCTTGGGCAAGGGAAACAAAATAAAAAATGAACAAATGGGACTATATCATGCTAAAGAGCTTCTGTATAGCAAAGGACATCATCAGCAGTACAAAAAGTCATCCTACAGTATAGGAGAATGTATCTGTAAATGACAAAAGGGGTCAACATCCAAAATATATAAAGAACTCAGATGCCTCAACACCCAAAAAGCAAATAACCCTATTAAAAAATGGGTGGAAGCAAATGATTTCACTCATATGTGGAGTATAAGAACAAAGGAAAACTGAAGGAATAAAACAGCAGCAGAATCACAGAATCCAATAATGGACTAACTGTTAACAAAGGAAAAGGGACAGGGGAGGATGGGTGGGAAGGGAGGGATAAGGGCAGGGGAAAAGAAAGAGGGCATTATGATTAGCATGTATAGTGTGTGGGGCCATGGGGAGAGCTGTGCAACACAGAGAAGACAAGTAGTGATTTTACAGCATCTTACTACGCAGATGGACAGTGACTGTGAAGGGGTATGTGGGGGGGACTTGGTGAAGGAGGGAGCCTAGTAAAAATAATGTTCTTCATGTAATTGTAGATTAATGATACCAAAATTTTAAAAAATGCAGTTAGTACAAAAAAAAAAGGGGTGGAAGATATGAAGACACTTTTCCAAAGAAGAAATTCAGATAGCCAACAGGCACATGAAAAGATGCTCCACATCATTAATTATCAGAGAAATGCAAATTAAAACCACAATGAGATATCACCTCACAACAGTTAGGTGGCCAACATAGAAAAGACTAGGAACAACAAATGCTGGTGAGGATGTGGATAAAGGGGAACCCTCCTACAATGCTGGTGGGAATGTAAAATAGTTCAACCATTGTGGAAAGCAGTATGGAGGTTCCTCAAAAAACTAAAAATAGAAATACCATTTGAGCCAGGAATTCCACTTCTAGGAATTTACCCTAAGAATGCAGGAGCCCAGTTTCAAAAGACATATGCACCGCTATGTTTATCACAGCACTATTTACAGTAGCCAAGAAATGTTAGCAACCTAAGTGTCCATCAGCAGATGAATGGATAAAGAAGATGTGGTACATATACACAATGAAATATTATTCAGCCATAAGAAGAAAACAAACCCTACCATTTCCAACAACACGGATGGAACCAGAGGGTATTATGCTCAGTGAAATAAGCCAGGCGGAGAAAGACAAGTATTAAATGATTTCATTCATCTGTGGAGCATAAGAACAAAGCAAAAATTAAAGGAACAAAACAGCAACAGACTCACAGAACACAAGAATGGACTAACAGTTGCCAAAGGGAAAGGGACTGGGGAGGGTGGGTGGATGAGAAGGGAGGGAGAAGGGGAATACAGGGCATTTTGATTAGCACACATGGTGTGGAGGTGATCATGGAGAAGACAGTGTAGCACAGAGAAGGCAAGAAGTGACTTTATAGCATCTTACTATGCTGATGGACAGTGACTGTAATGGGGTATTTGGTAGAGACTTGATAATGGGGGAATCTAGTAACTGCAGTGTTGCTCATGTGATTGTATATTAATGATACCAAAATAAAATAATAATTATATTATTATTTTTATTTGACTGTCTGAGAAATAATGTGTGTAAAATAAGCAATGAAACCAAAGTTAACACAGAGTTATTACATAGGTTTATTTGAAAAATGTATTTTTGTGAATAGAGCACCTAGTTCACTGACAGATATGCATCAGATATTGAAGATGTACTTGCTGATTGATACTTAGTAAAACAGCCACAAACTTTGCTAGTATGTGTGTGATGTGTGTCTAAAATGTTCATAAGTAGTTGTGTTTAAGACCATGTAGATGAGTAGTTTATGTTCAAAAAGCAATCATTCATTTTTTTTTCATTCGGTAAAGTCTTGTTGTTAGGCACTGGGTATATATTTTAATATGGGTATATATTTTAATAGAAAAGACATAATCTCTACCTAGTGTTTAAGTTTAAAGACCAGGTTATTGTCCTTGAGCCAAAATGGTAAATACTGTAATAAATACAAATCTCTATTTCTTGCTAGCTCAAGGAAATGGGCAAAAACCTGTGGCTATAAAGTAGTTCATAATTTCTACTCTGTTATGAATTAGAAGTTGTTTGCAAAATACCACATTTTAAGTCATAAATAAAGTCCCTTCCTAACAACTCTCACCCAAAATTAATCTTAAAATTTTTTTGCAAGAAAACAGATTTCATTCTTAACCTTTCTTTTTTGTATCCCATATCTAATTGCAAGGAGGCTCTTTTTAGAAAAAATTAAGATACCCATTAAAACACTCTCTTACAGATATGACTGGGCTCAAATACCCTTGGGCCCAAATCCCTGCTCTGTATCCTTGATGGCTTGGTGACTTTTGGCAAGTTCTTTATTTTCTCCCAGGTGCAACTTCTCCATTCATAAAATTAGGATAATAATACATTCCTATGGGTTTTCTGTGAGAATTACATGAAATAACTCATGTGAATAGGAGTTTAGTTGATGGAGTCATTTTATTACTGTTGTTGATGGTGGTGGTTATTCAACAACACTGTCATATTTTCTTGAATATTGATTTAATTTGAAATATTGAACTTGTTCATAGAAATGAACCTGGAGAAATCCAAGGAATCTAATTTCCAACCATGATTTAAAAAAATAACTGTATCTGAACTTTTGAGTTTTTTGTAATGTTGTATCCAGGACTCCAAATTTTGCTCCCAGATGCACCAAAGACTATAAACATCCTTTGTTCATGGTGGAAAATATGTAGCTTCTCAGGAAACATGATTTCATCATGCAAGGGTTTATAGATTTCTATCTAGTTCTTTGATTAAGAGAAGAGAAAAAAGCCTTTTTTGTGAGTCAGAAATGTTTCTCAGACCACTATAGGATAACAATTATGACTCTCTACTTTTTATTTTTATTGCTGGGTTGAAAAAGATGTCTCTGTACAATGCCTGCACCAGGAGGATATTGTTCTACAAATAAGGGCCCAGTGTGACATTTATGAAAAAACAGGGTCCTCCTGCACAAAGCTGATTGGTGCTCAGCCAATGGGCTCCAAGGGCATTGCAAAAAAAGGCACCTTCTCCACTGAGCTGATCAGATACAGGACTGCGACTCTCCTTTGCCTGTGGAACTTCAGGAAATGCTCAACTTCTGTCCTAGCAGCACATATCTGTGACGAGTGAAGAGCAACTGGACTTTAAAGATGAAACATCTTCCCCAATTCCCTCCTGTCCTGGCTATCTATTGCTTCTGTGTGCTCCAGATTCCCGCCTCAGGTAAGGCTTCCTGAGCTCTAACGAAGACTGAGAAAGACCTTAATCTTTCAGGGTGGCACCAGAGAGAGTCAAACTATTCCCTCACCTATCCCCATTTCTCCCTTCTTCAAAGGCCTTCCCATCTGTGTCTGTTCTTACAGAGGGTGAACAGAGCTAGATGCTGCAGCCCTTTACCAAAGCAGGCAGTTTTCCCCAGTGGACTATCTTTGAACAGATTCCGCCCCAGGGCTGTCCCAGGGATGTGCCTCTGAAATTGTGAGGGATATCGGGAGACGACTTCAGAGTCTTAGCCATTTGTTCGTCTGGAATACTGAAGAGACAAGAATCGAGACGGTAAAAGTGAGCTATAGTCCCAAAAGTACGAGGGACAGCTGGAGAGGAGCAGGTGGGAGGAAAAAGGAATCCTTCGCAGCCTCTCCAGCGGGCCCCGAGGGGCAGGGTGCCGGGCAGCGCCGCAGAAGACCTAGGTCTTGGCGGGCTTAGGCGCTGTCCGAGGTACTGACCTGACGCGGGTGTTGCTTCCCCAATTTCTTCGAACCAGTGCATTCTTAGTAGGGAACTAGAGGCGGGGTATGGGGTCAGCAGGCGGAGTCCGTTGCCCATATCCAGGTAACTAGCCTTAGGATGCAGGGAAGGATGTCGTGGCATCTCTGGTTGGAAGCACTCAGTATTTTAAAATTTTAGATTTTTCCTTTAGAATTTTAATTTGGAGGAGTAGGAAATCTTTGAAAATATATTCAAACAGAAAACATATTTCAAACAGTATGTTTGTTTTGCCATATCCTGTAGTGTAATCACAAAACCTAGGTATTGCAAGAACCCGTGGAGGTCATTAGTCTAACCTTTCACGGAGAGTTGGGAGATCGCCTCTGTGATTTCTCTTATTTGATTCCTTTCGTGACATCCAACTCACTACCAGCCTAAGACAGCCAGTAGCTGCCTCCTCCTTTGGACTCCAGTAGAATCTTGCTTATACTACACTTTTGGAAATTTGTTATTATTTATCTGTCTATATATTTATATCCATCTCCCCCTTTTTCCCATTTAATTTTATGTTCCCTGAGGGTAGGGCATCTGTGAGTTTTATCATTGTATTGTTAGCATAGAACTTCTTAATAAATCGTTGCAGGACTGATATGTATTTGCATTTTTCAATGGCTCAATAATCAAAAACTTCTTTACACTAAGATGAAATCTAGTCACCTGTAACTTCTAACCATTAGCACTATTTCTATCCTTTGGGGAATATACAGAGTAAGATCCAGTATATTTTATGACTATTCTCAAAATATTCAAAGGGAGTTAACATACACTTCCTTATTTTCCTCTTTGCCAAAAAAAATTATGCTCAGTCCCACCAATGCTACCACATATCCTATCATTTCAAGCAGGACTATATTACATTTCAAGACTTGGACACTATTATTTGAATATAGTATAAGAATGCTTTAGCTTTTTATTGGTTCATAGAGGAATTGCAGGGAACAAAATATAACTCAGTATTTTTAAAAGTGTATTTTATATATAATTTATTAAAATATGTATCTTACTCTTGAACCAGATACTCTCTTTCCTACATTAAAAAAAATCTATGTTCAGGGTTTTATGTTTATCCCATTTAATTTCATTTTGTTAGTTTTGAACTATTGAACTGGTTCCTTCAATTACAGTGTTAGCTATTCCTCTAAGTGTCATATTATATACAAATGAGATGAAGATTTCACTTAGGTCACATAAAGATTAACTGACATAGGACCCAGCTGCATGCTGTTAGCAACCTTCCCCAGAATCTACCCCCAAGAGAGTCTGGTGCAGCAAAGAGACAGGTATACATATTTTTTAAACGTTCCAAAATGATTCTGATATAGATACTCTGTTGACACCATTTCCTGATACTCTATCCTCATAAATTCTATCAACATACAAATTTTGGTATTTTAAAAATCCAGGTATTTTTTTCTTTCTCTTCCCTAAGTTGCTAACTCTTACACTGCTAAGTCCTAGCAAACAAGCAACTATGCTGTTTTTGATTAATTTTGTATATCCTTTTAACAACATTGTATTTATACAATCTCTGTATGTTTTTCATAGTAAAGATTTAAATTTAATGCTATGACCTCTTTTCCCTTAAGTGATGTTTTTATGATTTCTCACAATAGGATTTCCACAATCTTTTGCTGATCTTCCAGATGACTTGGATATTGTGCAGCTTGAGGTACACTGTCATTCAGTAATGTGAGATTTTTTATTTAGTCTTGGTCTTGAAAATATCATGTGGACAATGTTCACTTACAATTATTTTAAGATTAGATTCTTGGCTGTGGCATGAACTCGCTATAGCCATTTCCTTGGCCTCATTTAAGGCATCCTGAGGGTTGTGTTGAAATTCACTGCCTCTGTCTGAGAAGATAATGCAAGGTTCATAAACGGGACAGTTTTAGACTTTTATATGTGCTGTAATCAAATTCTACTAACTAAGGAATTTATACTTACTGAATAATGAGTGAAACTGATTCTTTACCTTATTTTTTTTAGAGGCTGGCCTATTGGGCAACTCTTCCTACACAACCTAAGGTAAAAAAAAATTTAATATACATATGATAATTCTTTTAGCTTTACCCATGCCCATGTTTCCACCATAACCGATATTTGTATTAAGCATACTTTTTTGCTACCTATAGAATTCTGTGTGTATGTTTAAGTGTATGTGTAAGAATATAATTTTATGAAATAAAAAATGAATCTCTTAAATATAAATTACCATAAAATATTGGTAATTCATGCATATTCTTACAATTATCATAATATATATATATGTAATTACATTAATTGTATATGTTACAGTCTATCATAACACACATTTGCAAATTGATATATCATGATATAATAGTTCTCCAAAACAATGGATCTCATGTGAAGGACCTAACAGTAACTATAGTAACCACAATAGAAATGTTCCAATAGATATAAGGCAAATGCTGATTCAGTCAAAAGTACCAGAGGGTAGTGTCAGGGTATAGTCCCTGATTCTTAGCACAGACTGTGCTTTCATCTTGAGCCATAGCTCCTTTTTGTCCCTCTCCTCCCCCAACCCACAACATACCACTAAACTTCATATTATTCATACCCACAGGCACATCAGACTTCTCACTATTCCCTACATGCGTGAGGCCCTTGTGTCTGCACAGGCAAGTCCTCAGCCAATAATGCCTTTGCCTCTTTTGCAGGCTGTGGTTAACAGTTCAGCCCCTAAAACCAAAGTACTGGATTCAAAACCCAGATGTACTTAACCTTGGAAAGTTTCTTAATCTATGTCTCAGTTTCCCTGTCTGTAATATGGGAATAATAATCTTACTAGCCTCATAATTTATTATGATATTATGAGTATTGATACCTTTAATACTTGTGAGGTGTTTTCAACAGTGTCTAGAACATGGTAAATGGCGGCACTTAAGGGCCAGCTGTTACCATTGTCTCTTGACACAGCTTATTTTCATTCCTCGAGACTCAAACATCACCTCTTAAAAATCACAAACATATCATGCCTATTTCTTCTTATTTTCAGTTTACCATTATGCATATGTCTGAGGACAATTGTCATCTCTCACCTTTAGAATTAATCTTTACCCCTTAGTACCCAGAGCAAACCTTCAGGGCGAGAGCTCAGAGTCTTCCATCTCCTTGCCACTGGTCTTCACCTCATGCAGAATGAGCTTCCCAGCTCCTCGCATGAAGGTTGTGAGGATGTCCCCTGCACAAGCAGAGGAAGTGGATGTGGCTGTCGTACATATTACCTACAATATAAAATTGGGTTGTGGCATTCCCCAGATGCAAGGGTCCACATGAAATGAATTTCGTTCCATCTTCTCCATTTTCCCAAAGCTGATCCTGTTCATCATTTCCAATTGCAGAAGAGCAGGGGATTGTTCAGTCAACAAAACTAAAATTTTAAAGCTATCAATAGAGAGAGTGTGGCTCTTCCTGGTCTTGCTTCTGCACTGAAATTCAATCTTCGGTATTACACTGCCTCTCCTGGGCTGGGGCCCTGGCTCCATGAACTACCCAACATTGGGATGAGTTACCTGGGCTTTAAGTCCACTTCATCTGCAGAAGAGTCCAGGTCTAATTCAGAAAGCAGTTACATTCTGCGAATGATGCACCTGCAGAAATGCATCATGCTTTGTGTTGCTGGTCACCATATGGGATCAGAAGAAGTTTAGATGGGAAAAGGGGCAACAGATTATTGTGAACACAACTCTACTATTCATCCATTCAAAAATTATATGAGCAAGCCATGTGCCAGGTGCTGTGATCAGAACAGACCAAACTACCTGCTTTCATGGAACTTATCTTCTAGTTGGAGACATAGATAATAAACAACACAGGAAAGTAAATTTTAAAAAAATTTATTTACAAAGAAAAAATTAAAACAAGGAATGTGCATATGAAATGTTGAGAGTAGTGTTTCTAGAAAAGTATCTCCATATTCCTTCTTATTTCTTGGACTGAAAAGTAACAATATTAGGTTGATGAACAAAAAAATAACTGTTTGACTAATATGTGTCCAGAACACACACACACAGCACAGATACACACACACACACACACACACACACACACTGCTGTGAAAAGATGCAGACAAAGAGACAAGGAGATGTAAAGAGAGTGAATACTTTCTGCTGATTTAGAAATGCTGATTATAAGGAAATAAAAAGCCTCTGCTATAAGTAATGCTGCTTGATTATAATGTGTCTGGGTGTGTGCCCATGTGCGTGTGCATATGCATGCACAATAGAGAGGGAAAGAGAGAGAATACATAGGGATTGGGTGCTTCCACTGCAGAAGCTCTCCACAAAGTTTGTAGGAAGATGTATTCACAGCAATAAAATTGGAAATGTTATTAACAACTTTAAATTCTGTCTTGTTTGATGTTTGAGCTGATTCAAGAATGTTTAAATGTGAATGAGATGTGAATGACCTATAGGAACTAGCTCAGCATATTTGAAAGATCATTCGCAGTAATCATCTCTAGTAATTTTACAATACACAGACACCTGTGATTTCATTTTAAAATACACCTTCCTTGAGTAAAATATGCTGCCTATGAAGATTTTCTGGGCTATCACCCATGCAAATAAGGGCAAGGTGGTGCTCTAATAGGGATCTGGGATGGATGAAAAGCTAGGCTTTCTGCAGGAAGAGTGAAGATTGATGTGGAAAGCTTTTGGGGAAGAAAACAAGTTTGGTCAATTTGAACCAACCCTAGGGTACGTCCAGCAATTATTATTTTCTTCCAAGTCTTAGTCAGATGGTTATCTGGGAATTGACTAGGGTACCGCTTCTATGCATTACAGGTATGTTTTCCCTCCAGAAATTGAAAAGGTGAAATGAGATTAAGCTTTAAAAGAATGATGTATTTCTGGCAACTTGCTTTTTTGTAAAATCCTGCAAGAAATCCAAGTTTATGTATTGGATTTCTTTCCAGAGTGCCGATTTATTTAATAATATTTGGATAAATCCAGTAAGGTCTATGATGCAGTTTATAATGAAACCTTATCAATTGCCTGCCTCTGTAAAATTTCATGTAATTTATCCTCACAATTCTCTTTCCAGGATAATCAAGACATACACAAAAGGGTAAGTACCACCCAGCCCAGTGACAAGGGCATGTAACTTCCACGTTTCCTCCAAGTGACACTTAGCACTAAAATCAACTTCTTTTTTTTTTGTTCAATAGTTTCTATTTCACTACTCCAGAACTAGGGAGCCAACACATTCAGTTAAAACTGGGGTCAGTGTTTTTATCATAATTATTTTTGTGGAAAAGCCCCTCTCCTCTGCATACCTTTTATCCTTTCCTACTTAGCAGGTGCAAATTAGTAGAAAAGCAGGGGCCTACAGACACTCTAATGGGGATCAGGTAAGGATGGGGTTGTTATCAAGGAGTGTCATGGGCACTCAAAGGGAGAGAGGATGATGGAAAGGGAAAGATAAACTGTCAGTGACACAAATTAGTATTTACTCTGAGCCAGAATACTCAGGAAGGATTCACACAGATGAGGTAAGACCTGGGTGGGCATGCCTATGTGTGGGGATAGCCACAAACAGGAAGTAGAGGAAAATAAAATGCATCCGGGCAATCAGGCAATGGACGCTGCCCTTGTACCTCATCCCTTAGATTAGGAGGAGAGCACAGCTGGGAGCAAAAGGGATCTGCATGGAGATGCTTCTCCAGGACAGTGCACTTCACACTGGAAGGATGGAATGCTCAGGGCCAGTGCAGACAAAAGTCTGCTTTGTCCTAAGGGAGTATTTTTAAGTGATGTGCTGGAACTGAAACCTGCTATAAAGGCAAGCAGTTCTTTATTAAAAACATAAAATTTCAAGCATCAGCTCAGAAATAGATTTTATTCTGAAAATTAAACCCATTTGTAAGGGAGTGAGTGGAAAGGTCAATGTACAGCTCAGGGCGATGTTCCGGAGCCCGCCTGATGCTGGCCGCTTCCGTTACAGTTCCCTCCCATGCACCCTCTAATGCACCTGGCTGCCAAGCTCGCCAACCGGACAATGAAGAGATTTCTACTGCAAGTACATGCTTTTCGCTTTCATGATATTTCTATGCCACTGAAAGTTCATGTAACCATTATAAATGCATGTGGCTGCCTCGCCTGCATTCTCTCCTTGATCCTAAGTTTCTGCCTTGGGAGGGAGCTCTGGCCCTTGACCTTGCACGGATTCCTTAACCTCCCGAGCCTCGGTCCCCTCCACCGTGACCCCATAGGTGACTGCAGGGTGAGGGAGGGTGCATGGTCCTCCCTAGGGTGGCCTTTCCTGTCCTGCTCTCTTCACCTGTATGTCTTGTCTTAGTTTTGGTATTGTTTTTCACTTTCTCTGTCCCTTCCTTTCCTCTTGACAGGTACATTCACCTTGGTGATATACCCTCTGCTTCCCATTGCCTCATCTGCCCCTTCGTCCATACCTCAGAACTTTGTTTCTTTAAAAAAATTTTTTTTTCATCTAGAAATGACCAGTTTCAGTAAAGGCTGAACCTGTTCAAAAATATTAATCAGAGTTTTGTCCCATGGTAGAAAACAGAAAGAATTTCTTGTGGCCACTGAGCCCAAGCAGGGTGAGTCATTCCTCTAAGCTTGCTAGGACTTTCCTGGTTTTAGCTCTGAAAATCCCAAGACTTCCAGAAAACTGCTCAGTTCTTACAAAATCACTTGATCATCCTAAGCACAGGGAATAGCTGGTCTGATCTGCTGCTAAGTAGAGCATTCCAGGTGGAGTTTGCCTACACCAGGGGTCAACTTCAAGTTGAGGCTGGTGGGAAGAGCAAGCAAATCTAACATTGTCCTGGACACAAATGGTAACATGGTCAAGAAGACATGCCCCCCCTTCTCCAGCAGGAAGTTCTCTTTGGCTACACGGTCAGCATGTAAATGGCCTGGAACTGCCTTCTTTGCACCTGACTTCTGGCGGCCCAAGTATGGAACCGGGGAAGTAGATGAGTCACCTCAGGGCACCTGCTCCTGAGGATTTGCTTTCTTTGACTCACATGCCGAAGGGGCCCACATGCCTGTTGCACAAACCTGGGAAGAGGTACTGCAGGGGACACAAACCCCAGGTACCAGCACTTTTCCAAGGTGACCAGGAATCATAAACACCTGGGAACCTTGTTAAAATTCGGGTGGCTGAGCCCTAATTCCAGAGATTCTGTAGGGGCCTGAGAATTGGCATTTCTAACAAGTTCCCAGATGTTGTTATTGCTTTTGGTCTGGGGACCACATTTTGAAAAGTGCTCCCATCTTTGGAAGACTTTTGGCACAAAGTGGTTGTTAACAGTTTTGTGTTTTTATGTTGCAGGATGATGCTGCCACCCTGGGACGACCATTTTTCCTTTTCAGGGTATAACACATTTCCTCTTCCCTGTTGTTAACCCCAATTCTCTCCCGCTACCCAGTTATGGAGCTCCTGCAGAATGGGCACAGCCAGCATCCAACAGCTAGCTGGTGAATAATTGTGGGGACTCTCTCACCCTTAACTTAGGGGTTCACTCTCAAAGTCCCCTCCTAGAAACTTGATGCTTGTAAAAGAAAGGGTCCAGCATGACACAGGCATCAGGGCTCTGAAACCCCAGAGCCAGGAGGTGGGACTTCTGCTGATGGACACTTGGGGGGCCAACCAGAGTCACAGTCCTTAGCATAAAGGTCCAGAATCATGGCCCCAAACACATTTGCAAACAAGGACTTAGGTGTCATCCTCTCCTCCTTCCCAGGAGACTCGGAGCCTCTTGCAGAGGTCACTGAATGAGAGAACTGTACTAGTTGTGATCAGTCACTCACCAGCGCTTCACCCCCTAGATCCTCAGTGTATGCAGCAGAAAAATGTGCAAGTCAGACTCGATTTGTGCCCCTCAAACCGCATTCTGTGGGTCACTGGTGCTGAGATGCTCTGCAAAGTCAAATAAGCTTAGCTTAGAAAACACTATACCCAACATTCTCAGAGGTCAACAGGGCACATCAGCAGGTCCTGCAGGAAACCACCTGTTTAACTCAGCTTAATCATAGTTTCCCAGACTTAGTTGAACATGGAAATGCTTCCCACTCGCATGCTTCCTCAGGTGCGCTGTTGAATCTGCCAGTCAGTGGTTGTTCTCTAGCAAGTACTTTGAGAAACAGTGGGTCTCCATGATGTCTTTAGGGTAAGAAAGATCATCTTGCCACATCAGCAGAGGCTAAGAGGTGGAGTGTCAGGCTGCGGAAGCAGCAAGGGTCGTAGTGCACTGTCACAGGGCGGCTATGCAGAGGGGAGGGCTTCCTAGGTGGACCTCATGGAGACTGCTGACCTCCCAGTTAGGAGATCGAGGCCTTAGGGCCTAGTAGAGAAAGGATCTAAGGCCAAATTGGGTTCCAGGCAGTTTTGTCTCAGTATCCATAAGCTGCTCCATTTTTTTTTTTTTCAGCCAAGGAATGGAAGAAACACTGACAGTGACACCCAGTAAGACATCCCAAGGTCAGTCCCATCGGGGCTCTTCTCCAGGCAGATGTTATGTGTCTGCCTGGGGGGTGTGGCAGCAGCCAGTCAGGGGGATAGTTCAAAGAAAGGGGGCCATGTGGAGCCCTGAGGACCCTCCACCCCTCCCTTTCCCACTCCCAGCACCACAGCCTGGCAGAAACAGACCATCACAGGAGAACAATGCAGCCGTGGCTTGTAGGCCGGCCCCTTGCGGGTGTGTTCTCTCCCGTGGCAGCTGTGAGGGGGTGGAAGCCCCATGTGGCCCAGCTCATCCCAGGACTTCTCACCTGCCCCTCTGATAAGGCAAAAACCACCCTACCATTCTTGGGGACATTTCAGACTACAGCCAGGCAAGGCTATTCCCTCCATTCAGTGGTGCCCTGAGACCCAGAGTTTAAATCTGGGGAGACTGCTTAGCCTGTAGGCTGGTGGAAGCAAAAGTCCATGCCCAAGGGAGGCTCTGGGCCCCCTCTGCCTCTCTTGATGACGTGGTCCCAGGGACAGGGGCTTGCTGTCTTTCAGAAGTGTTGCAACCTCCCTCCGAGAGCCCAGTCCTGACCTGCTGGCGGTAGCCAAGGCCCTGGAGGGCCAAGGTGCTGTCCACAGGCTGGAAAACAATGACCCAGGGGAGAGAGCGGAGTTGTCCCCTGAGGCCATCTGCTCATCCAGACCTTATGGCCATTAGACACACCAAAAACAAACAAGTACCAATTGGGGCATTTATGACATGTCAAATTGAGGCATCATTTTTAAATATGTTATACAATAACGTGCCCATGGGCCTTGTCTCAATTCTGAGAATGATTTGATCTGAGCTGTACATTTTTTTTGTCTCTTTCAGAATTCAATGCAAAGGGAAGGTGGATCAGATGAGGCAATTGAGCCATTATTGTGAACAAATGTCAAATGTCAAATTCCTTTTCGTGAAGAGTCTTTAAAGATAATTGTCTTGCTCTATATTCACCAAGATGTTTAGTTGTATAAAAAATAAAGTAGCATTGACAACATTTTCATTTCTTATTGGAAAATCTTGGGAGAGGGATCAGGCATTTTTCTAAAATAATAGGACATACCTTTTTAAAACATGCTTTTTGGTATTATTTTAGCGTGCTCCATCTCTTGCTATTATTGAGAACTGAGAGTGTAGGCTAGAGATAAATAGACTAGCTGGCTCCAAATCCTGACTCCTCCACCTTGTAGCTGGGGGACCTTGGGCTGGTCACTTCCAAACATCCTTGTGCCTCCGTCTCCTCCATGGCAAAATGGGGTGTTCATAGCAGCACCGTCGCATAGACGTTGTGATGGCTGAGGACACGGTCTAGGTAAAGGGCTTCGTGTGGTGGTGCATAGTGAGCACTCGGTGTCTAGTTATACTTCAGGGATGATTTTCATTCCACAACAGGACCAGACGGCCTTGCCCTGCTGAGAGCTGCTTCTAGGTTGTTGAGCAGGGCCTTGAGGTGGAACAACTCCAGGCTCTAAGAAACCATGAGGCCCAGGATTTTATCTGCTCAGGCTCCCCCTCGGTTAATTCTTTGCGACTTCTAGACCCCCTGAGAGCTCCAGAAGGGGTGGATGAGGCAGGAGATGGGTGGTTAGACAAGGAGGGACCCTAATGATGCATGGGACGGACTATGCTGCACTGAACCTTCCTTCTTTTAAGCTCCTCGAGCTTCTGGTCAAATGTAAAAGTCCTTCTAAAATGTAATATAGACATCACATGTTAGGACTCATTTTTATTTTAGCATTTATAAGCCTTTGTAATAGTTTTCTCAAATAGACTATTTTAAGCCCCCTCTGTAGACCTCGCCACGCAGAGGGGAGTTGAGCAGACCTAATTCCACATGACATTTTGCTGAGCCTGGGTGGCAATTGGAGGCATCAAGGGGCCGACCTGAGGCCTGGCAGTGGGTAGGGAGCAGCAGATGGCTTTGGCCTACAGGTGGCTCCCAGATCCTTTGAGCACCTGCTGCCCTAAGAGAGCCTTGCACTTCCATGATAGGCGGGGCGTTAGTGGGAGGTCCTGCCAATGCACGTCTTCAGAACTGATCTCCAGAAAAAAGATGGTGGATTCCATCCCAAACCAGGCCCCGGAATCCTCTTTGCTAAACCAGTGATGATGAATTCCACCCCAATGGAGGATCACGCACTTGGCAAAGGACTGCCACACACCTGCCTGCTGGTGATGGCTAACGAGGAAGAGAGGTGGGCAAAAGGACCACTGCTCCTAAGGAACTTCATCTGAGCTAAAGTCTCTGCCTTTGCCAAGCCAGTCTCTGATGAAGGGGAGATGGGACAGACTTTGCAATCTCAGACATCACCTGACTCCTTTTCCCCATAGCAGTGTCCAGCCACGCACCCCTAGGGGCCATAAGTCCAAAGAGGAAAGTGACTCTCATTTACAGCATCAGACTGTGAGAACTGGTTCTCCCTACATGCAGTGTGAGGCTATTTTTAGCCTGGTTTCCTATGAAAAGGGGCCTTATGAATTCACTGTACCCAGGTGTCCCTTTGAGTAAGGCTGAGTCCTAGGCCCAGTATCAAGTCACTAGGTGGAGAATGCCTGTCTTCTCAGCACTGATGGGCACTTTGTAGGGAAAGGTCACGCCTCAGCCCATTGCACAGAGCCACTGAGGGCCTCAACAAGATTGGCACCAGAGTCCTGCCAGGAAAGAGCTGTGGACTTTTAGAACCCTGCAGTGGGCAGGGTCTCATTAATTACTCAACTCCACCTTTCATGGGCTGCCAAGGAAAGCCACCAAACAAGGCCAACTGACTTGCTCAAGGCCACACAGCTCCTGCTCAAGGCCTAATTGCTCTCTTCACTCTGATGTTATTGTTGTAAGATAAATTTTAGCCGAAATAAGCAGGCAAAGAGAGGCAACAAAGGGCCAGGTAGTTTATTTGAGTGCAACTCCTGGGTGATGTTCCGCAGTCTGGGTATTACAGGCTGGGGAAGGTGACTTCCCGGTCAGGGAGGTGGGGGCTTATAAGGGATTAGGAGGGGGAGGAGTGGGCAAGCTATCCTAGGGGGCATGGAGAGGTATGATTGGCTAAAGGTAGGGTCTTAGTTGGCACATCAGAAGGATAGAATTCAAGAAGAGCTGTCCCCTTTCCATATAGGGCACGGACCTTGGGGTCTGGTCTGTTCTCACCCTATGGCATCTCTCCGTTCTGTTTGCATGTCCTTGTTTTTCCTTCCTCCAGCCTAACAATTGTCCTGTATTAATTTTCTAGGGCTTCCATATAACAAATTTTCTTAAGCTTAGTGACTTCAAACAAAAATTTATTCTCTTAAAAGTTCTGGAGGCCAAAAATCCAAAACAATGGCATCACCAGGGCCATGCTCCCTCTGAAGACTTGAGAGCAGAATCTTTTCCTTGGCTTCTAGCTGCTCGTGGCTGTAGGCCTTTGTCTTGGTGTGGGTGAAATTGCAATACTTCCAGAATCTCTCACCAGGCCTTAGATCTCCATATCAATCAGTGTTTCCAAGGGGTGGAGAGAAGTAGGACATCATTGTATCAGTAGGTAATTATGTGGGTGAGTGAGAGCAAATGGAGACAGAGAGGTTGGGTGGAGCTCTCTTCCTCTGTAGCTGGGTCAAGAGAGATGTCGAATGACTGCTTGTAAATGGATTTCTTAAACTTTATTTCTCGCTTTGACTGATTTTGGTTTCGAAGGTATTTTGCCCCTGGATTTCCCCCCCGGAGTTACACTCAGTTTGTGGCAGCATCTCTCCAAACTCTACCTCTGTGCTATGTGGCCTGGTCCCCTGTGTTTCTTTGTCTTCACCCCTTTTCTTCTCTTATAAAGATATTTGTCATTGGATTTAAGGTCCACCCTAATCCAGAATGCTATCCTAATCTAGGATGATTAAGGATGAGATCCTTAATTATCTCTGCAAAGATCCTTTTCCCAAATAAGGTCACATTTCTAGGTCCCAGGGGTGAGGACATGGACTTATCTTTCTCAGGGGCCACAACTCAAACCGTATCCTCAGGGGCATAGTTTGTCGTCCTCTTCTGAGTTTCAGAGCCCTTTTGTTGGCCTCTGTTCAAAATGCCTCCTTGCAAGCCCTCACATTCTGGGTCTATTCTTCCATTCTCCTTTTCCCAATAATCCTGCACAGTTCTCACTTGTATAAACATTTAATCGCTTATTTAATTGTTCAGCGCTTGAATGTCTGCCATGGGCCAAGCTCTGACTGGGATAGTGGAATTGCATAAGATATAATCTATGCAAGTGTCAATCAAGGTAATCCTGAATAAATAACTAATACTTTTCATGGGTGAGTGCTGTTCTTTCTCTCCATTATCCTCAGGATCATGGGCTCCTGTAATGAGGAGAAACCTTGCAGGCCTTTGCAAGTCCACACCCATGGCCAGTGTAGCTGGTGCTCACCCGTTCTGATGGGACTTGTCCATACCTACTTCAACACTTCCAGGAGCAGGAAGCTGACTGCTCTGTAAGGCATCCACTTTGTTCTTGGACAATAAAAGCAATGGGACTGAACCCAGGAACCAATATGGCCATAATAATCACTTGGTTATTTTTGAGATTTGAGAACACAGGCTAGGGATAGACTGGCTGGCTTCAAATCCTGCCTACTCCACCTTGGAACTAGGGGACCTTATGTTAGGCAGGAAAATAGATATGAATGGGGTGGAAAGAGAAAAAGGCCAGAAAGTCCACTAAAAAAGACCCAAAAATTAATCAATTAAAGCTCAAAAAGGCAAGCACAACTTGGCCTGGAATGTTTGAATATTTCCCAGGTAAAGGAAGGTACCTCAGCATTGCCCATGTCTTTACTGTGTTAATCATGCAGGCCCAGCTTGCTTTCTTTACCTTTACCTATGTGCTGTTTTTTTCTCCTTCAGGCTCTAATTAAGTAGTTTGTAACCTAGGCAACTAATTCAGCATGCAGGCCCAGCTGTAAATAACATAGTAAAAGGTTGGAAAGATTCCATTTTAAAAATTGTATTTTAATAATCAGGAAGTTAAAAAATGTAAGATTCTTAACTTACTCCTTATCAAATAGACAATAACTCAGCCCACCTTGAGGGCTGGGCAGGCAGCCTGTTTGATCTGCAACCAGACCTAGTCGCTGGTATCCCAGGGAGAAATCAGAGCAGGAACTTCCTTGTGTTAATTCTAAGTATTTGAAGACCACTTAACAAGCCTGCACCCCCAGCCCTTAGTCACATGCCTAAAGAATCCTTAAAAGGGGGAACCCCCAACCTTTTGGGGCACTCCTCTCTCTGAGGTTGCCCGCACTTTCCAAGTGTGTAACCTTTTAATCTTCCTCTCTCCAACCTTTCAGGGTGCCTCTCCTTGACCGTACTTTTTCTCTCTTTAAGTAACTTTAAGTAAAAGTTTTACTCTGCTTCACTACTGTGTCTCTGTCCTTCAATTCTTCGTCGCATTGGAGACAAGGACCAAGGAAAATACACAACGTTTCCCGAACACTTGGGCTGGTTACTTCCCACCCCTGTGCCTCAGTTTCCTCCATGGTAAACTTTCCACCTATTCACACATGTGTTGTTTCATAATTCATCTAGAAAATATATTTTAACAGGGTACTCCTGAGCCTTTGGATAAATCAAAGCAACGCTTTGGAGGTGCTATGAGAAGCCACAGTGGAGGCACTTAGGCAGTGTGCGTGGCCTGGCAGCCAGACTACCCAGCTCAGGTTCCAACTTGCCTATATTCTGCACATCACTTCACCATTCTTGTCTCAGTTTCCTTACCATTAATGTGAGCACAATAACAAAACTCACCTCACAGGGTTGTCCTGAGGAGTAAATGAGCTAATACTTGTAAGGAATTTAGAACAGCAACTGAGGTCTCCTCAGTATTCTCTCAGTATTTGCTATTTATCTTCATTATTGTTATTACAGCATTAGCAAAGGATCTTCTACCTCAAGGACAGTCTGAGGCTTGTTGCCAAGGAGATTACCCTGCCT